CAGTTAGTCGCTCAAAAGTAAGACCGTCAGGGATTTCGATCGCATATAAATGCATTCCAATGATGGCGAATTACTGATCTATGGGGCGGTACATAAAACCAGTAATAGTGTCTGGTTCCTGTTAACACTGAAATGGGCTAATCCGAACATAATACTCTTGGTTGAACTTAACATGTTCATTTCTCAGGGATTTCGGTACGTGAAATGAATCAGGATCAAAACTGCGATTATACAGAGTAATAAATCACCCTTTGGATACACACTCTTTGGAAAGGGCTGTTGATCTCATTGTCTTGCCACTCATTTGTCGGAAATTTTCTCACGTGAAACCATACCGATGTGCGAGAGTTGTCGACTTCATGGCCTTTCGCAAACGTCTTCTGGTAACCCAACAGCATTGTAGAGTTGAAAAATGGTTCCCTATATGAGATGTTTGATTAGCGCCCTGAATAGTACAATACACCTAAAATCCTCAGGGGTTAAAGATTCTTGTACTGAAAAACAGATTGGCAACTGCCATACCCTTGTGGGCGTTTGGCACGCGGTAGTAAGAATAGTTCAATTTTCAAATTGCAGGATGTTGGAGAGTTATCAAGGGTGCTTAAAATTTGACACTGAAAAATTTTCGGTTTGTCAAAGGACAACCAAAACAATCGTTATGCACCTCCTCCAGTTGTAAGAACCCTATGCGTTTGTCTTTACGAAGACTGACAATGTATCTCTGAAGAAAGTTGTGCTGTGTCCTTCACTGGCAGCTTGCCTGGAACTTCAATACTGACGCACTTCATACCCCTGATTGTTCTTTTTACTTGTAAATACACGTAGAAGAAAAAACGAGTAAAGTTTTGACGATTATCCATTAAACAGACTGATAACATTAAAATCAACTTAACAACAGAAACTAGTATCCCCAGAAATAGTTGGTAATAAGCCTTGTTGCATGTTTTGATAGAGATAGGACGGAACATGGCGATACTACAATGCAGGGTGGTTTGAGTCATATTGTCATCTGCATCGTGTCGCATTGCTTGTTGAGTGTAGTCACATTCAATGTGTTTACCAGCTTGAGAAAACCCTATGTTGTGAATTGACGTTACAATATGTGTGTTAAGCTGATTTTGCTGACCTTCATTCCCAGTTTATTCGACTGTTCTCTCCGCGTTCTAATTTCAGCTTCTATCTGGCTGAGATTACCCTAGCCATTGGCCATCTCCATTCCATGGGTATTATTTATCGTGATTTGAAACCAGAAAACGTACTCCTGGATATTGAGGGTCATGTAAAGCTGACAGATTTCGGTCTCTCAAAGGAACGAGTTGACAGAGATAACTTGACGCACACGTTTTGTGGGACCATCGAGTACATGTGAGTCGCCCCTCTGTATCTATCAGAAGTCCCACGTCTGTTCGATGCATTGGGTTTGCATTTACGGAGAATTCTGTTACATCTATTTGGCCGTTAAGCAGTTGACCAACTGAATGATGGGCAAAAGTTTAAAGCGTCTTCATTGCACAAATATTGCAATTCACGGTAAATGTGGTTCATCTCGTGTCTTAACAGAAAAAGAGTGGACAATATGCACGATGAAACAAACAAGAAATACTTGTTTGTCTTTTTCCTTTCGTTCTCATATGTACCCGAATGCCACCCGTTATTATTGTTGTACCCTACATGTCCGTTAACCGGTAATAAATGAATCATTGTTTTTGATCCATTCGACGATTTCGAATGTGTCCTTCAGACTAGTTGGAAACTCGTGTGGAGACCAATCCATTGCAATACGTTGAGATCCATGTTTATGTCGATTGTTATTCAAGCATCAACTTCCTATCTGGTTTCCATTCAGTAACCGAAATTCAGATCATGTGAATTATCGGGTCGTTCAAATCAAACCTGGATCTGAACGCTCAGTTTCGAAATATCTTGCTTAGATCCATTTAACTGATACTTCACGGGGATAGGCAGTCTCGTTCTTACCATCTTGGAAAGTTATGGAGTGTCACCTAAGACATTCTCTCTCTCTCTCTCTCTATATATATATATATATATACTGCGCAGCAATTTGGCCATTAAGGAAACAGGACAAAGATAGACTGTCGATATTTGAACAACGCTGTCTGCGTAGCATTACACGAATCTGGTGGGACAGCCGGACGAACAATGCTGATGTTAGGCACGGAGTTTTAGGTAGATGCGGTCGCCTACTGAAGCAAGTGGTTGACCTCCATACAATACGTTGGTTGGGGCATGTGTTACGCGTGTCATCAGATAGGTTGCCATGGCGAGCGATGTTCGCCGAGGCAAGCAGTGGGTGGAAGAAAGTCAAGGGTGGCCAAGCTAAGACCTGGCACGAGGGTATGAAAACCCTGACCAGAAGTCTGGGTCACAAAGGTCCCGTTAGGCTCCCTGTCTGAGGACCTCGGGATGATCGTACCCGATGGTTAGAGATTCTGAATGATATGGCTGGGTGTCATAAAGGGTGGCATCTTGTCGATTTCTCTGCAAAATTAGTGCACTGAAATCCTAAATTTTCTGTTCCATCCTGCTTTTAGAGAATAGTGTGAACTTAGATGCGTTCTTCAGTAAATACTCCATTCCGACTTATGTGAATCGCACTAGCCCGGTTTTTTACTTGTTTTTCTTTTGTTTCACAGTTGAAGCTGATTCGAGATTTTGGTTTCTGTTTTTCTGTTCAGGGCTCCAGAAATATTATTGCGCCAGGGTCACGGTAGAGCAGTTGATTGGTGGAGCCTGGGAACTCTGATGTACGATATGCTTTCCGGCGCCGTAAGTCTTGACTTCCGTCTCAATAGTTTAGGCGCATTTTATTGCGCACGTGCAAATTGCTAAATGTTTTTAAACAGACTAATGCAAGATCTCATACCGTAGTTCTCTTGTCTTTACAGCCACCATTTACTGGAGAGGATCGAAAACAAACAATTGACCTGGTAGGTTTTGTCTGTTTCATCGTCTGTATTGAAGTGTCACGTTGATGCTTAAGTATTTGCATTCTAACTTGAATTTCCATCAGCAACTAAAGAAACTTGTCCAAATTTAGTTGGTATACGTAAAAGTTAATGTCAGCTATTTTCACTTCAGTTTTATATTGTGTTGTGTAATGAATTACTGCTATGAATATATCACGTATACATTTCCCGTTCATGAAAACGATGTAAATTTGCCAAATTATTAGTCTTGTTAGTGTGACATTCACAGGAATTCTCGTATACGTAAACCATCACATTGTAATTGGTAACCCCAGTCTATAACTGAAGTTACCTCAAACGGGAAAGACGCTATAGAGTTTTACTGTTCGCACATCCCGACTCAGTACCATGCCAACCCATTCAACGATTATCGTTATAATTCTNTTCTCACTGCTTCGGTCATCAGTTCTGGTAACTAAACGATTGGTTATTTGGGCTACGTTGAGCCCTTAAGTCATAGGTCACCCTGAGGTATGTGATAGAAGAAAAAACATCCACGTATGATAACGGACGACTTACCATTGTTAGTCAGTCTAGGGGAGTTGGCTAGAACCCTGATTCCAAACCGCCCACACTTGGCATAATAAGCTCATAGTGTCACCTTTTCCGGGCTTAACCCTAAACCTTACTCCAAAGTCCACTTTGGGAGTCAACTACTGTGGTGCTCACCGGCAAGTGCGCGGTCTAAGGATAATCTGGGTACCCTGAATAGTTGGCCACACCCGGAAGGTGTGGGAACCGATCGTCCAATCATTTGCTTCCAAAGGATTATGGACTCCTTGCTTCATCTTGCTGTCTTGGGGATCAGGTTCTTTAATCAGTTGTTCCGGGTAGAGCCCGCTATGAAAATCCTTTACATTATCCGGGGTAACTGGATATTATCACGGTCACAATGTAACCATGAGCTTTAACATCCACACATTCCTCAGACTTTCACACTCATACAACACGCTCCTTTCACAAACTATACAGCCCTTCCATTTACCCCCCCCCCCTCCACACAACACCCTTTTCCCCACAACATGCTCTGTTTCAACTGGTCTCAACAGTGCCACGCCACTCAAAGCCTACTGTTTCATTCTTCCGACCTAATTCTGCGTTGGAACTGGCTTGGTTCGACGTGAGGACTAGTGGTCCCCATAGCCATGGTAGCCGTCGTCCAGATAATGGTGATAGACTGAGCATGGGCTCAGAACACGATCTGTTCCTCGTGGGCACGAACTTTTGACACCTAAAGCGTCATCTCACCCCTTGGCGTGACCTCTTTTCGGCACAGGCTTGAAATTAGATTGATCGCATAGCATATACATGAAGAGGATATATAAAAGGCTGCCGTTCTTATTGGTCTGTCTGCTTGGATTGTGGCCACTCAGTGGTTTATGCCAGGAGTTATTGTACTATTATTTGTTTAATACACAGTCTGTATTCAGACGTGTGAAATATAATTTCAACATGCTATTTGGAGGCCGCAAAAAACAAGATGTAAATAATTTGATAACGATGAACTTTCGACCGGGTCGTACTGGTTAACTATAAAACCGAGTTAGTCGAAAGGATAACTATTACCTCAGAAAGAAGTGTTGATCGACACTGGGTAACCATTCCAAACACAAGGCAATCAACCAGTTTACACAGTTGTCTAACCCACTGAATCGTAATACACTGATTTGGCTCCAACTCGCAGACTTTTTAATGCACGTCGGGCAATCCCAACAGACATCGTTTATAATGAACAGTGCCTCTGAAGCGCGAACTCAGGAGCTACAGGAAGATGACCAAGAAGACTTGCGGGCGCTACGTGCAAAAGAGGGAATGGACAGCTAGGTGTGGAAACACCCGGTAGCTGTTCCAACTCATCTGTGCTACTGGCCCCAAAGTCAGTGCGTTGGTGAAACAGACGGCACGCCAATATGCAGTCATCATCGATGCTTGGTATAATACTTCGGATTACAGTTTAATCAGCCTCACGCTAGCCACCCTAAATAGTTCTCTTGACAGAGCACCCTGATCACTATCCACGGAACCGCCCACAAGGGCGGAGATCCAAAAGGAACTCTCAAAGGTTTGAATCGCCACAATGCGTTTGGATCAAACAACCTGCCACCAGCCCTCTTTAATAAAGAAATTCTCGTGAGGAATCTTGTCAGACTGTTCTCAAAGATCAGGGAAGACCAAACTGTACCTCATGCCTAGGGCGAATTGATTGTTACATCCATTAAGAAGAATGATCATAGCAGTAATAACTAAAACTAAAGTAAAGAGCATTCCATAAATTGATATAGGTACTCTGTGTGTTGATCATAGTGGCTCATCTTCTCCCTCCCTCAAAATAGATCCAATTCCTGTCCACCTTAAATTTTACCGCTAACCTTGTATACATTGCGAGTTTGGCAGCGGTCAGTGAAGTTCGCTTCGCTGTATTTTGCTGTACGATGACGATGATGATGATAAACAACATGCGTATGGTTCTCAGGGTCGAGGAACGCGGAAAACTGCTGAATACGTTTTTAGATTGCAGATAGTTGCGTTGCCACCCCACTAATTTAACGGTCACTAATGATTCAAAGAGGGGCTTAAGAACGCGGGTTTTTGCTTGACTAGCAAGTATCCATCAAAACTGTCACTCGACTAGAAAATTGACCGTGACTATCCTCCAGAGTTAGTCTTGTACTGGAAAGCATCGTGTGAAAGAAGCTCAGAGGTCTTAAAAGCAACTGAACTACCCTGGATAAAAACAAAGCAACGGTCTTTGAGCAAGTGCGGGCTCATTGTTCCGTATTTGTTCAGGTGAACTTATGGGAACTTTTTCATTTTCTGCTGAACTCTCCAGATTGCCAATAGTCTGTCCGTTATTCTTAAATGGAATTCGCTTTTCTTTTCCAGATATTGCGTGGGGACTTTGTTTTGGTTCCGTATCTTAGTTGTGAAGCCGCATCGTTGTTGAAAAAGGTTCGTCAACTTGGAACGAGATTTACTTACGTACATTTGCTCATGTGTTTATCTTTTTATAAATACTGTGAAATATCTCACTTTCAGCTTCTCGTTGTTGATGTTAGTCGCCGTTTGGGTTCTGGACCGTCGGATGCCGAAGCGATCAAACAACATCCATTCTTCCGATCGACTAATTGGGATCAGGTATTGAAACGCCAGGTGGAGCCCCCATTTCGTCCCACACTAACGTCGGATACCGATGTCTCCCTGTTTGATCCGAAATTTACACAAGAAAATCCTGTGGAAAGTCCCGATGAGGGTCTCCCTATCTCTGCTGTTGTGAATGACGTCTTTGAGGGGTTTACCTACGTTGATCCTCAGGTACACATAGATATGGCTCGTGATCCATGGGTTTCTCAGTGGCCCGCTTGTTCGCGTTCACGACGTCGGTCTGGTATTTCTGCCAGTAGGTAAGTATCCCGCTCATTGCAGTTGTTCCCATGGAACCAAACCAGGTGTCATTATTACATACTGCCTCATTTCCCACGCAACATCTCTCTATCAAGATGGGGGATGAAGTTAACCAATAACCAGCTCAATACACATTCGGACTGTCCGATTTTTCTCGGTTGGACTTCAAATTTGCGGATAGTCTTCGCTCTCATGTCGCTGTTCTCAGTATATCGATCCATTAGTCACGATTTTCTTAATATATTTTGTTCACGAGCATCTTGCGAGAAATATCATGGAGTTTGAAACCAGTGACTGATCTACGGCAGGCAATTCCTGTTGTATTCAAATTTCAACTGAAACAAACGTTCAACTACAATGATTAGCATTTTCAGCAGGTAACATCAGAGTCGATGACCAGGTTGATGGACTTTGGGCAGCTAGCTTATCTAGGGAGTAGGAATACCTTAATTCCAGACATCTCACAGAAACATTTCAACTGCATCTAGAGTTCCCCGACCTCGATCATCATCGGCTCGGGTGCTCAATNCGAACGACTCAACTAATTTGATACTCGTCCCTCAATGGGTTGCCTATTTTCACACACCGCCCACTGCCTTGTTTGTTGATTTACGATAGCTGGCTCCTGGGAGCGAATAACCCGGCTTCATGATTATCCAGAATTGCAACTGCCCACCCTCGTTTGTCGGCAGCAAGGTCTGCACAGATTGTGATCCGACCTCACTTTAATTGACGTTTGCCAAACACAGTTTTGCGTCCTTGCGCACGATATCTAACCAGGTTTTCAGTTACCCACCATGCCGATGGCGCCTGTTCGGACAGGGAGATAGTGTCAAGGTTGCTTTGGTCGGGTCTTGGTCTGATGTGCGCAGTGTCCAAACCACTTTGGTCCTAACCGTTGTATGAGCGCGCCCTACGAAATTAAAGCGTCGGTTTCGGAACGTTTCATTTGGGAGTCGGTCCCTTCATTTAACTTCAAGAATGGAGAATAAATGTGCGGTGTGACTAGGTAGGGGGTCTCCTTTCTTCCAAACTTGGTCCAAAAGAATGTGCAACTGGTTGGTTGGAAGCACTGAAGGGTATAACAACTAACCAAAAGCAATGTCGTTTCTTATCAGGCCAAAATGCTTGAAAACGTAATTATGCACAGGTTGCGTTCT